AAGTGGGGCAGAGAGGAGGGGGGGCGGGGGGCAAAGAAGGAGGGGAAAGGAGGAGGAGGCGGAGGATGCTGATGAGGATGAGGAGGAGGAGGAGGAGGAGGAGGAGGAGGAGGAGGAGGAGGAGGGGAAGGGTGCTGGTGATGGTGATGGTGATGGTGATGGTGATGGTGATGGTAATAGTGATGGTGACGATGAGTATGAGGATGAGGATGATGATGATGATGATGATGATGACGATGATGATGATGATGATGATGATGATGATGATGATGATGATGATGATGATGATGATGATGATGACGACGATGAGGATGAGGATGCCGAGGATGATGAGGATGAGGATGATGATGACGACGATGATGATGATGATGATGACGATGATGCTGATGCTGATGCAGATGCTGATGCTGATGCTGCTGCTGATGATGATGATGATTATGATGATGATTATGATGATGGTGATGATGATGATGATGATGAGGATGAGGAGGAGGACTCTTAGGAACCCTTGGGAGCTCAGAGTCGTTTAGATTGCCGAAGGGCATGAGGGTGAGGACGGAGTGATCGACAGGCAGCGGAAGGGGTCGCTCACATGAGGAATGCCGACAGGGACTCCTTCCTACGGACTTCGACATCGTGATTCTACATCACCCCTGCATTAGGCCACATGACGCGGGTCTCCCACTAACCGAACCTCGCTCCCTTTCGGATTTGGGTGATGGTGGCCCACCTGTGTCCTATGTATCAGCCGGGGAAATCCTTCTCATTCCTCTTCCTCTTCCTCTTTCTCCTCCCCCCTTCCACCTCCTCCTCCTCCTCCTTGTCCTCCCTTTTCTCGTCACTCCTCCTCCCCGTTCCTCCCCCTTCCCCTTCCTACTCCTCCTCCTCCTACTCCTCCTCCTTGTCCTCCCTGGCCTCCACCTCCTCACGCTTCTCCTCCTCCCTCTCCTCCCCGTTCTCCTTCTCCCCCTCCTCCCGCTTCTCCTCCTTCCCATTTCTCTTCTTCTTCTTCTTCTCCTCCTGCTTTTTCTTCATTCCTTCTCCTTACAGGTAGCTTCTCGGTGTCGCGCCACCAGACGTGTCCGTGGGCCGGTCTAGGCGTTTTTGTTTTGAGATTTCTTTGCCAACTGTAATCCCTTAGCTGGACATTTGCAACACTTTTTCAAATGTCCAGCTCAATCCTTAAAACTGAGTTTTAAGGATGGAGCCCGGGTCGTTTTCAAAAAACGGTTCTCGCCTCCTGGCCAACAAAAAACATTCAGCAGTTTCACGACCGGAGGGTGGTACGTTTTTTGATGTGTCTCTCGCCTCAGCGCCGCGCACATTCGTCTTAACAAAATCAACATCTTCAAGGATGCAGGCCAGTTCCTTTTCAACATGTGTTTATCGCCTCAGCGCCTCGCACATCCGTGCGGTCCAACCCTCACCATTCCATGCAAGGCATAGCATTCGGGGTATATCCATCCGACCCAACCTTCACCATCCTTCTCAACACATGCACTTCTGCTCACCTCCATACGACCCAACCCTCACAACCCCATGTCAGCGACTAAGATTTGGTGCACATCCACACCACCCAACCCTACCTTCTTTTGCACATACATGTCTCGGTGCACTCCATCCGACTCAACCCTCACCATATTAAGTACTGTTTATTATGTATGCGTCCGTATGCATTTTATGTTGAAAATCTTATGTGGTTCACATTCAGATAACCCTCACCACCCGATGCGAACAGTGCAGTCTGGTGCACGTCCATCAGACACATCTCTCGTCATCCGATGTAAAAAACATATTCGGTGCGTACATGCTGGTCACATCGACCCACCCCGTGGCCCCGAAGAGCCCTGCGGTACAAAAGTCGGAACAACACCACATCGATTGCGAGTTGGGACCAGGCTGCCCCAGGCGCTCCCAGACGCTCCAAGACGCTCCCAGGCGTTCCCACACGCTACAATCCTTCGCCAGACGCTCCCAGGCTCGCCGTCGCCACCACCAGCAAAAGCATCCACATCCTCAACATCATCGTCCTCGTCGCCGCAGGAGGCTTCAATAAACAAATGAGGTCAGATCGCGTTGACGAGTGGACTAGACGTTTTTCACAGTGGGGCTCTCGCTTCGTTGGCGCCGCGCAGCCTCGTATTGCACAGCCGAAGAGCAGATCGAGGGTGGGCCGTCTTCAGACAGGCGCTCTCGCCCTGGCGCCGTGCATGCTCGGAAAGAGCACGCTCGTCGCACACTTCTCAGTCCAAAGGGGGGCCCCAGCTTGAAGCTGCCCCCCCTTCCTTAGAAAGGGGGGGGAGGGAAACAGGGAGGGTCTTCCGAAGCTGCCCCCCTTTCCTTCTGTGGCATTTTGGAGCTAGGGGGGGCCCTAGCTAAAAGGGGTGGCTTCAAAGCTACCCCCTCCCCTCTCCACTTCCGGAGCCCAGCGTCAGCCTGGACTCCTCTTATAAGGAGGGGGGGCTTTGGAAACTACCCCCTCCTTATCGCAGCTGAGATTGGTTTGCCAAAGAGGGGGGGGCTTCAAAGCTACTTCCCCCCTCCCGCTGCAGGAGCCCAAGGTCAGCCTGGGCTTTCGTTTCAACGGGGGGGGTCGGAAATTGCCCCCCCCCCCCCCCCCCCCCCCCCCCCCCCCCCCCCCCCCCCACCCCCCTTCTTGTCGCTGCTGATATTGTCTTGCCGGGGGGGGGGCTGCGAAGCTACCCTCCTCCTTCCCTCCACTGCCAGAGGCCGAGGTCAGCCGGGGCTCTCCTTCCAAATGGGGTGGGGGGGCTTCGGAAGCTCCCCCCCCCTTCCTTGCGCAGGTGAGATTGCCGTGCCAGGGGGGGGTTGGGTTTCAAAGCTACCCCCCCTCCTTCGTTTCCTGGGGTTCAAGGTCAAACCAGGCTTGCCTTTCACAAGGAGGGCTGCAGAAACACCCCCCTTCCTTTTTTCGCAGCCAGGATTATGTTGTTAAGGGGGATGGTCCAATGTGCGTTTTCCAGGGTCGAAGGTTCGCCCCAGCGCGACGTGGAGTGTATGAAGCCTGGAAGTCGAGCAGGCGAAAAAACATGGGCGATTTCGGGACCTCCTGGTATCCTCTTGGAGTGGGGAGCTTGAAATGTGGGTTGGTTTTCCCCCTCTTCGGCCTCTCTTGGGGTGTTCCTTGGGCTCTCTTGGGCGTTCTCGGTCGGAGAAGGGGGAGGGGGCGGGGTCACGATTCGCAGGACGCTTCCAGGGACCCCGCAGGATCTTCTCCTCCCTGTCACCCTCCCCCGGGGCCTCCCCTCTCGCGGGGAGGGGTTACAGGAACGGGGTCCCCTTCGAGTCGATTACGCTGTTGTTCGATTCTCCTCTGGCTGGAGCGTTTGAGGAGGTGGGCCGAGGGAAAAAGGGGGGTGGTTCTGGGAGGCTCATGCAGGTTTCAGGCTGGTGCGGGGGAAAGAACAACGAAGAGCGAGGGCTCGCGCGCATTTGAATACGAAGTCCACCGTCTATATTTGTTTACCCTTCTTCGGCCTATACGACCCGGCGTTCCATATTGCGCAACAGCTAACACGGATGAAGGGCAGCTTTTCTTTCGAAGCGGGGCTCTCGCGTGATATTTTGGCGAAACTTACGTCCACGACTTCGACATCCTGCAACGCTGACTCGGATGGAGGGCATGTTCTTTCCAATCTGAGGATATCCCTGGGCCTTGAAGGGCTCTCGCGTGGGACTTCCGCGTAGCATGCGTCCACGACTTTGACATCCTGCATCGCTCAGACGGAGTGAGGGGATGTGCCTCCCAAAATGGAGCTACCCCCGGCGTCCTTCAAACGGAGGAATGGTCCTTTACAACGGGCGCCTTCGTCTGACTGGCGGACAAGACTGGCCGCTCGTCATTCAAGGGGAGCGCCCGCAGTGGAAACAAAAGAACACTCATACGGACTTCTGAGGAGGGGACTTGGGACGAGAGGGTGTGTTGCAGCATCGGTGGATGCATCTTGGGGTTGTTCGGGTCCTCTTCTTCCTCCTCCTCATTATCATGATCATAATTGCTGCTCCTCCTCCTCCTCGTCCTCGTCGTCCTCCTCCTCCTCCTCCTCCTCCTCCCTCGTGCCCTCCACGGCCAGGCGGCCGCACCCCCCCACGCGGCGGACGCCGACGGCGCCGCTCACGCCGCGGAGTGCCAAGCGCTGCTGGGGGAGCTGCAGGGGAAGGCGTCGGCCAAGGCCTTCGGCCCCCCCCCAGCTCGCCCTGCTTCGGGAGGAGAAGGAGGATGAGGAGGAGAAAGAGGAGAAGGAGGAGAAGGAGGAGGGATGATGATGATAATGATGATCATGATGATGATGATGATGATGATGATGATGATGATGATGATGATGATGATGATGCTGATGATGATGATGATGATGATGATGATGATGATGCTGATGCTGATGCTGATGCTGATGCTGATGATGATGATGATGATGATGACGACGAGGATGATGATGATGATGATGCTGATGATGAGGATGATGATGATAATGATGATGCTGATGATGATGATGATGACGATGCTGATGCTGATGCTGATGCTGAGGATGTTGATGCTGATAATGATGATGAGGATGAGGATGCTGAGGATGCTGATAATGATGATGATGATGATGATGCTCATGCTGCTGCTGATGATGATGATGCTGGTTATGCTGATGATAGTGATGCTGATGCTTATGCTGCTGCTGATGATGATGAGGTTGAGGATGATTATGATGCTGATGCTTATGATGATGATGATCATGCTGATGATGATGATGCTGAGGATCATGATGCTGAGGCTGATGATGACGATGACGATGATGATGATGCTGATGATGATGATCCTGATCATGATGATGCTGGTGATGATGCTGATGAGGACGTTGATGCTGATGATGATAATAATGCTGGTGCTGATGCTTATGCTGATGCTGCTGATGCTGATGCTTATGATGATGACGATGGTGATGGTAATGGTGATGGTGATGGTGATGGTGATGGTGCTGTTGATGGTGACGAAGATGACGATTCTGATGATGATGCGCTGATGCTGATGCTGATACTGCTGATGATAATGCTGATGCTGATGTTGATGCTGCTGCTGCTGCTGCTGCTGATGATGATGATGATGATGATGATGAGAATGCTGATGCTGACGCTGAGGCTGATGCTGATGGTGATGATGACGACGATGATGATGATGATGATGCTGATGCTGATGATGCTGATGCTGATGCTGCTGATGCTGCTGCTGCTGTTGCTGATGATGATGATGATGATGATGATGATGATGATGATGATGATGATGATGCTGATGCTGATGCTGGTGGTAATGATGATGCTGCTGCTGATGCTGCTGCTGATGATGATGATGATGATGATGATGATGATGATGTCGGTTGTGGTGTTGGTCGTGGTGGTGGTGGTGGTGAGGAGGAGGAGGAGGATACCTGTTGTCGGAGGGGCGCCAGGCGGCACTTTAGAGGCCTGGATTTTTGTTTGTTTGTTTGTTTTTCTTCCTCTTCCTCATCATCTTCCTCCTCTTCTCCTCTTCGTTCTCCTCCTCCCCTCTTTCTTTCATCTCCTCATCCTCCTCCCCCTTCTCTTTCTTTCCTCTCCTCGTCTTCCTCCTCCTCTCGACCGCTAGATTTCTAATTTTCCTAGTCCTGAGGGCCACGAAACACTGGTATGCGTTGCTTTTTCTGCCTGAGGGCCATGAAACGCTGGTATGCGCTGCTTGTTCTGCTTTTTCCCGTCCCCTAGATCACGAAGCGCTGGTCTGCGCTGCCTTTTCGTTTTTTTTTGTGGGGGGGGGGGGGGGGAGTACGGTTACACAGCCCCTCGCCGTTTCCGGTCACGGCCACGCAGATCCAAACAACACAGGAAAAAAACAGCGCACACCAGCGTTTCGTCGGCAACACCCAAACATACTTATACTACATGTGCGTCGCCCCCCCAGGGGCGACGCGCGCACCGAGAAATCTTATAGTATATGCGTCGTGGCGGGCGCTTCCCGGCCACACCGCTCGGGAAACGATATACTACAAGATGGGTATACTATATGTTCGGGTCGGACGCGCGCCTCCAAGGAGGACATATAGTATTAGTATGTCCATGTGCGTCCCGTTTCGTGGCCCCGGGGGCTAGACAAAAGCAGGCACGAGGCCGTGCGTGTGGGCAGGGCGGCTGCCGCCCGCTTCGGCCCACGCTGGCTGCAGGCCACATATATATATATATATATATATATATATATTTGCTCGCCCCCCCCTGTGATCATACATTTCGCCTTCTTTCTCATCCTCCTCGTCGTCGTCCTCCTCATCATCCTCATCGTCGTCGTCGTCGTCGTCGTCCTCCTCCTCCTCCTCATCCTCCCCCTTTTCCTCCCCTCCTCCTCCTCCTCCTCCTCCTCCTCCTCTTCCTCCTCCTCCTCGTCATCATCATCATCCTCATCCTCCTCCTCCTCCTCCTCATCCTCCCCCTCTCCCTCCCCACCCTCTCCTTTCAACCTGTCTCCTCCCCACATGTTCATACACAAACCAAGTCTTCGACACTGCAAAGCACTTCCACGGCGCTACTCTGGAGGGGCATCCAAAAAAGGATGCCCCTCTGTGGCGGACGCGGGCCCAGGAGGGAACCCCAAAATCGGGTTACCATCACTGTGCCCGAACACAAGGCCACATGGTCGGACGCCTGTTACGCAAGGACACCAGCAACGGTTCAGCATCAGTGATGATACCACACAACAAACCAAAACTTCGACACTGCGAAGCGCTTCCACGGCGCTACTCTGGAGGGGCATCCAAAAAACGGATGCCCCTCCGTGGCGGACGCGGACCCAGGAGGGAACCCCAAAAACGGGTTCCCATCACTGTGCTCGAACACAAGGCCACATGGCCGCACGCTTGTTACGCAACGACACCAGCAACGCCTCAGCATCAGTGATGACACCACACCACAAACCAAGTCTTCGACACTGCAAAGCGCTTCCACGGCGCTACTCTGGAGGGGCATCCAAAAAAGGATGCCCCTCTGTGGCGGACGCGGACCCAGGAGGGAACCCAAAAAACGGGTTTGTGCCCGAACACAAGGCCACATGGTCGGACGCCTGCTACGCAAGGACACCAGCAACGGCTCAGCATCAGTGATGATACCACACAACAAACCAAAACTTCGACACTGCAAAGCGCTTCCACGGCGCTACTCTGGAGGGCACCCGAAAAACGGATGCCCCTCCGTGGCGGACGCGGACCCAGGAGGGAACCCCAAAAACAGGTTCCCATCATTGTGCTCGAACACAAGGCCACATGGCCGCACGCTTGTTACGCAACGACACCGGCAACGCCTCCGCTTCCTCAAGAGTTCGGCGGGCCGCGGCGTCATTGAGTTGAGCACGCCGACGCCAAAGAAGCGGCGCCCCGCCCTCGAGGTGGAGTTGTCGCAGATGCTCGAGGACGACGGCGTGGCGAGCGGCGCCGCGGCGAGCTCGAGCGCTGGCCCGCCGCGGGTGGAGCGTGCGTAGGCATTGGCACCTTCGACGGCGATGCGTCGTCGCCACGCAGCTGAGCGCGGGCAGCAAGCGGGCAGTGCTGTCCAGTTATTAGAACCGCCCGACTTGAGAACTCGCACCGCCTCCTCGCTAGCAAATGTGCTTACCATATGACATTCTACATGTTCCAGCTTTGTCGCAAGCAACACATGGAGATCTGTCACGTTTCCAGCTTTTCCAGCTACCCCCAGAGGTATCCTTAGCGAAAACCTTGTGTTTTCCAGCTTTTCCAGCTTTTCCAGCTTTTCCCAGAGACTACCCTGATGAAAAACCTTGTGTTTTCCAGCTTTTCAGATTTTCAAGCTTTTCCCAGAGACTACCCTGGTGAAAAACCTTGTGTTTTCCAGCTTTCCAGCTTTTCCAGCTTTTCCCAGAAACTACCCTGGTGAAAAACCTTGTGGTTTCCAGCTTTTCCAGCTTTTCCAAGAGACTACACTGGTGAACAACCTTGTGTTCTCCAGCTTTTCCAGCTTTTCCCAGAGACTACTCTGGTGAAAAACCTTTTGTTTTTTCGAGCTTTTCCAGCTTTTCCCAGAGACTACCCTGGTGAAAAACCTTCATCAGGGTTGTCTCTGGGAAAAGCTGGAAAAGCTGGAAAAGCTGGAAAACACAAGGTTTTTCACCAGGGTAGTCTCTGGGAAAAGCCGGAAAAACTGGAAAAACTGGAAACACACAAGGTTTTTCACCAGGGTAGTCTCTGGGAAAAGCTGGAAAAGCTGGAAAAGCTGGAAAACACAAGGTTTTTCACCAGGGTAGTTTCTGGGAAAAGCTGGAAAAGCTGGAAAAGCTGGAAAACACAAGGTTTTTCACCAGGGTAGTCTCTGGGAAAAGCTGGAAAAGCTCAAACACAATCACAGAGAGCGTGAAAGACAAACAGTTGAAGACAGCAGCAGACAATCACAGAGAGCGCGAGAGACAAACGCAAAGAGAGAACAACAAAACGAGAGAGAGGGATAGAGCGAGAGAGAAGGAGAGAGGGAGAAAGCGAACACGGAAGACGGAGATGTATGATCACAGGGGGGGGGGCGACCATTTTTATATATATATATATATATATATATATATAACCACCTTTTACGTCGCTGGCTTCCTCACAGAGGATGAGGGGGAGGAAGAGCAGGAGGAGGAGGAGGAGGAGGAGGAGGAGGAGGAGGAGGAGGAGGAGGAGGAGGGAGGAGAGGGAGGAGAGGGAGGAGAGGGAGGAAGAGGAGGACGGCGAGAGGGAGGAGAGGGAGGACGAGGACATCACCTGCACCCCTGCCGCCACTCGCCATCCTTCTCCTTCTCTTCCCCCCGAGGTCATGATCCTTCGTCTTCTTGTCCCCTCGTCCCTGCCTGTCTGTCCCGCGCACGCTTTAGCTTTACGCGTAGAAATGCGTGCGTCGCCGGTGGCCCCTGGAGCGGTGCTCTAGGGGTCACCTGGTCCTAGTTTGGTCGACCCTCTCAGGGCCGATTAGCCCTGACTGGCCCTGAGGGAGGGGCTGCGATCGTTGATGTCTCCAGCCACCAGGAACCATGAACCAGGAATAGGAGGAGGAGGAGGAGGAATACTATTGTATGAGTCAGAGTACGAATAATGAGCGTAGTAAAAATAATACTGATAAGAAAACGACGGATACCACCAATCCGAATAAACTATGAAAACGAACAATTCGAGTAGGACGAATGCGAATCGTTTTACTGATCATAGCCATGATCATGATACCGTTGTGAAGACTAACTATATCAATAATAGTGCCAAACCGAATGCTATACACGCTGATAAGAATGCCAAGAAGAACATAAAGACGGCGAAAACCAATGGCACCATTCATAAAAACAATCGTATTACTCAACGATGATGGCACTAAACCAATGGCGATGATGGCACTACTCATAATAACAATCGTATAACAATCGTAAACCAAGATGGCACCACAGGCACTACTAATGATGATATCGAATAATGGGCCCACACATCATAATAATGCAAATGCGAGTTAAACGACGGATCATACTGCTAGTATATACATGTTTATGTATGAACAGTAGTGCTATATATATATATATATATATATATATATATATATATATATATATATTAGTAATCACCTATATACTTAAACATGACGTAGCCAGGGTAATTCAACCAATAACGATAATCATGATGTGGATAGAGATGGTAATACAAAAACGCACACTATTACGAATACTTGTAATACTAGTCTGAAGAAGACTAGTAATACAACGAATGATAATACACATGATAACAATACTAATACCAAGGGAAGGCGAAACAGTCAGACAACTAATAGTAACAACACGTATGACAATCTTAATCGTAATACTGAGATTAATAATTCGAACGGTAAGAAAGAATACGACTAATACGAATAAGAAGACTACGAATCCTAATGACGATGCGAATGACAACAAGACACAGGGTAACACGAATACTAATGCGAATATTAACCATATGAATACGATGAGTACGAGTATTAGCCATAGTACTATTATTTATATTCGTAATAATCGTAACCTTAAGACATGCATACAACAAAAATAAGAAGAGGGGGAGGAAGAGGAGGAGGAGGAGGAGGAGGAGGAGGAGGAGGAGGAGGAGGAGGAGGAGGAGGGAGGGGGAGAGAAGAGCAAGAGGAGGAGGAGGAGGAGGAGGAGGAGGAGAAGGAGAGGAGGAGGAGGAGGAGGGAGGAGGAGGAGAAGAGGAGGACGATGAGGAGGAGGAGGAGGAGGAGGAGGAGGACGACGAGGACGAGGAGGAGGACGAGGAGGAGGACGAGCAGGAGGAGGAGGCGGAGGAGGGGGAGGAGGAAGAGGAGGAAGGAGGAGGAGTATGAAGGGAGGGAGGAGGAGGAGGCGGAGGCGGCGGAGGTGAAGGAGGAGGATGAGAAGAGGGTCGAATAACAAGCATCAACCTAAACATCAACTGCTGGCGGTCCGCGCGGATTTCTGGAATCGGCGCTGGGCCCCCATCAGGGAGGGGTGCCCAGGGCAGCTCCAGGAAATCTGCGTGGACCTCCAAACGTGTATGGTTGTGCTGTTCTCTTTCCCCCTACGCGAGAGGAGGATGAGGAGGAGAACGATGAGGAGGAGGAGGAGGAGGAGGAGGAGGAGGAGGAGGAGGAGGAGGAGGAAGAGGGTCGAATAACAAGCATCAACCTAAACATCAACTGTTGGAGGTCCGCGCGGATTTCTGGCATCGGCGTCGGCCCCCATCAGGGAGGGGTGCCCGGCGCAGGTCCAAGAAATCCGCGCGGACCTCCAAACGTGTACGGTTACGCTGTTTCCTCTTCCCCTACGCGAGAGGAGGACGAGGAGGACGAGGACGAGGACGAGGAGGAAAAGGAGGAGGACGAGGAGGACAAGGAGGACGAGGAGGACGAGGACGAGGAGGAGGAGGAGGGTTTCGAGAGGGGGATGAGGATTTGGTGTTCGGTTATGCGCCCCGCACGGGTACTACCAATCAATCGGCGGCGGGCCTGGGGGGGAAGTGAGCGGGGGCAGGCCTTTTTAGAAGCCCTTGCGCCTTCTGAAAAGCCCTGCAAGCCTTCTCCGGAACCACAAGCAGCTTCCCAGAAGGCTGGAGGGTTTCTGAGAAGCCCGCCGCCTTCTGACAAGGCCTGCCCCGCTCAATTTCCCCGTGGGTTCGCCGCTGAATGACGCACCGCCACGACCTGACCTCCACGACGCAGACTCAACCGTCTCCAGCACGCGTGAGAGCCCCTTGTGCGAGAACTTCTTGGGAAGCCAGAGCGATGGTTTTGACAAGTACGCGTGTATGCGTACTGCCATGCCCGTGCAGGCAGCTTTCGTGATTGGATTCGAGCACCCGGGCCTGCATGCGTACAGTCATGCACGCGTTCATGTATGCGTGTACGCGCTAATGCATCCAGTCATGCCCGCTTGTTGGCATACGAGTATGTACACGTACATGGGCACGCATTCACACATGCACACATGCAGTCGTGTACGCTTTCTCACACGCAGGGTGCGGTACCCGTTTTGGCACGAAGTTGAAGATGGAGCCATCTCTGTCAAGTTTCAGGTCGGGCAGCAGGTGGGGTTGACTAACATATGTTCAGGACGACGGCAAATTCTTGGCACCAAGTCAGTTCAATGCTGCAAAGGTGCGCCTGGAACTTTGTATTTATAGGCCGCGCACGCGCAAGCATGTTGTATGATCTGGCGCGTTGGGAAACAGCGCGAGTCTGCATGATTCGGCACCGACCAGGCTTCCAAGTGGGAGAAGGCTGCGTTGGAAGGCAGGACCATCCTCGGCTACGGGCGGAAGGACTTGGGTTTGCTTGTTTGGTTCGGGGAAGGCTTGACAGTTTGCAGACGGAACGGCGTTCCACCCTGGGTATGTCTGCATGCCCATGTGCACAGGAATATTCTGCCTCCCCTTTCGAGTAGACGTGCAGGCCCTCCGGGTCGGCTTGCGACAGCAAGACAGGAGCTGCTGGCAGAAGATCGAAAGCAAAGCCTGCCTTGCCTACAGGGCGGGAGAGCTGTTTGGCAGCTCCATGCAGAGCCTCGCGCAAGGTTTTGGCGACTGGCTGCCTCAGCTGCAACTGAAGACATCCTGAGCAATCGGCGTATGCAGACAGCGTGTCGTTTCCCTTGGCCCTCCTCCGGGTAGGTAGGCGGGAGAGGACGATTGGGCTCTTTGCCCTTCTCTTGGCCCCTGGGGACCCTCTCGGACGAACCGATCTGGCCAGAGGGGTGAGGCAGCGATGGCGACTTCTCTGTTCTCTCTCTCCTGATCGTTCCGTGCCTCCTGGCTCTCCTGGCTCTCCTGCCTGCTCTCCCGCTCCTCCTCCCACTCCCCCATGGCACTCGCAGCGTTCCAACACCTGCTTGAATGCTTGCCCGCGCGGTCGTAAGGCGGGATCGGATCGCTGTTCCGTTGACCTGGCATGAGAAGATGGTGATGATCATTATGCTGCTGCTGCTGCTGCTTCTGCTGCTGCTGATGCTGATGCTGATTATTGTGGTGATGATGACGACAACGATGACGATCACGATAACCATGATGATGACGATGACTGTGACGATGTCTGTGGCGGTGATGGTGACGTTGACGTTGGTGGTGATGGTGATGGTGATGGTGATGGTGATGGTGATGATGATGGTGGTGGTGGTGATGATGATGATGATGATGAGGAGGAGGAGGAGGAGGAGAAGGAGCCCGAGGAAGATGGGGAGGCCGTGCGTGCTCGGGGGTAACTCCAGGCGTCGATTTTGCTGAACCAGACGCTGAAGGAGTTCGACGAGGCCCGCCGAGGGAGTTCCTCGTCTTTTCTCACCCTTCTCCCGCTCCTTCCGGCCCACCCCCCCCGCCCAGGATCTGCTGAGCCAGTCTGTCATTCGAGTGCGCTGGCGCTGCTCGCTCCTGAGATTCTCTCTTTTGCCGACCGTCCTCCGCAGGTTCCGCCCTCCTCCTCCCTCCCTCTTCCCTCCTCCTCCTTCCTCCCTTCTGCCGCTGCTCCTCCTCCTCCTCCTCCTCCTTCCAGGGTCCATTTCGGTCTGATCGAACTGATTCGATATTCATTTTGGCCGACTCGATCCGATTTGATTCCGATATTCCGACGGACCTATGTTGCCCGATATTTGCGTTGCCTTGTTGCCCATTCTTACGTAGCGGATCCGATTCGATTTCGACTCCGCGCCGGTGCAGCCCGATCCGACGCACCTTCCAATTCTATCCGATTTCGATATTGGCCGATCGTGTTTCGGAAAACAAAGGTCGTTGGAACAACACTCGCGTACCCAACCCGTCAGCGACATGTGGCACTGTCGACGGGCTTACCCCAAACGAGCGCATACTCAGGAGGGGAAAAAACACACAGACACAATTAATCGTCGGTTCCCCTGAAAATATGGGAAAATATGGGAAGTGGGTGGGAAGACAAAAATCCCAGAAAATATGGAAAAATATGGGGAATACTTTTATTTGTGTGTATTTATTTGTGTGTCCCAGGGCCCCTTCACATACGTTGTCCAATGGACGGGGTGCCCAGAGAGCCGACGGCCGACGCCGCAGGACAAGTAATTTCTCGGTGTGCCCGTCGCTCGTTGAAGGTAACTTTTTTTTGGGGGGGGCTCACATCGCCCAGACTATCGTAGGCCCCTTCAAATTTCAGTTGTCGAATGGTTTCCCAGCTCCTTGTCTTTCCAAGGGGGCGGGCGGGAACCCAATCCATTTTCAACGCCTCCCCGCTTCGTGCCTCTTCCCACTCGTCAGCTCAACCTCCCAGGAGCTGTCGAACGTGGAGGAGAGGTCTAGCTTGAGTTCGTTCAGCACCTGGGGGGCTGCCCAGGAGTTCACGGAAGTGGCCAGAATCGTGCAGTTTGCAGCGCCCCGGGAGGGGAGGTCCAGTCTGGGTCCGTTCAGCCCCGCGTTCCGCTAGACCCTCAGGATCTCGCAAATCTTGCCACATTCGCGGCATGCCCCCCGAGAAGGGGAGCCACCATTTTGGCTCAAGACTTCTCAAGCTAGGGGGCGCGGGGATCTGCGCCCCTCCCGCACGCGGCCGCGCCAGCTCGGTGTCCGCGGACCCTCTCTGCAGGTCCGCGCGGCTCCGCTTAGGGGGCCACGTGCGAACCCTACCCCTGCCCCCCACGATTTCTGAGGGGGGGGTAGGGGTAGGGTTCGCATGCGGTCCCCTAGCCGCCGCCGCGTTGGCCGCCGCGCTCGTCGTGCCCGACGGGCTCCTCTCCTTCCCGGCCCCGGCCAGCCGGTGGCTCGCGGTCGCCCAGCAGGTCCGCGCGGCTCTGGCCGCGCCGCCCTGCCTGGGCCGCCGCGCTCGCCGTGCTGGACGGGCCCCGTGCCGACAATTTCCTGAACGTCCTGACGTTCTCCTCCTCCTCCTCATCCTCCTCCTCCGCCTCCTTCTCGTCCTCCTCGTCCTCCTCGTCGTCTTCCTCCTCCTCTTTCCCCTCTTCCCCCGTGGTTCGCGCTTCTTCTACCACGATGTTCTTGCTAGTCACCGCCTTCACGGTCGCGCGTCGTTGCTCTCGCGGCGTTCGGGTTTCGCGCTCTGCTGGTGACGCGTGCCGTCGCCCTTCGAGAGTTTTTGTTCGACTGGTCGTTGGTCCCTGTTCTTCTCCATATTTCACGCTGCGCCCTTCTCCTCCTTCTCCTTTTCTTTCTTCCTCCTCCCTCTTCCCTCCTGTCTCAGCTGCATTGTTGATTTGTCTTTCATGCCGCCCATCATAGCAGCATGCGTCTACCTAATTTTCACAGTTCGGCTTGTGCGGCGTTCCTGGTTTGCCTGGCGACCTTTTGATTCGCTATGTGATTATGTCACCCGTGGTGTCTGGTGCGGATTTGTTTTGGTTCGTTTTGCGCCAATTGGGCCTCCCAGGAGCTCGCGAAAGTGGCGGCAGTTGCGCAGATGTCAGTGCGGCGGTGGAGGAGTTTAGTTCGGGTCCGTTTGCACCGAGCTCCGCTGGAGAGGGTGTGG